GCCATCTGCTATTTCTAAGCGGTCACTCATCTAGATACAGACCAGCCTCGATATTGCTTAACTTCGGTGATCTTACGAGAACCGGTGTTTCATAGTGATATGTAAGAACAAAGTCATATTACAATGATGACATAATCAAGTTGTAAATGTATTTATTGTTTAAACAAGCAGTATATATTTCTTAATCGTCATCGTGGTGTTTCGATGGTAAACTTAGCATTCTTCAGAAGAATCACATCTCTGTTGTTTCAAGCCCTTCTTAAGCTGTGAGAATATTGTCCGGCTTTCATTGTCACATAGGAGTTCAGATCTCCTAACAATGAACGCTTTTCATTTTGTTTTATAAAAGGTATGTTCCCTATTCTTTGCGGCTACATATTTCTGTCATAAATGAGAGAGAATTAAGACATTACACAAATTTGTCACTTGTAATAACCAAATTTGGATTTTAAATGACAAACTGTCTTCACTGTTCTATCCGGGGAGATTTTAATGTACTAATCTAAATATATTGCTGAAATAATGTATTTTCTTTATCTTTTATGTGCTGTTTTTCTTTAGGAATTAGGCGAACATGGCCATCCACATCTTGTAGCTCTTAATAACTTTTGTCTTTTTCTCATTACTCTCAAACTCCGTTCTATCGTCCATTTACTCAATCCCATCAATTAAGTTATGCGCTGATTTACTCCGTCCCTCAATCTGTCATGTGAGTATCATATTTTCCAACCTCTTTTTCTTCATTACATGCCCCAAAAAATTCAACTGCTTCTTCCTGATATTAAGAACAAGTTTCCTTTTTGTTTCTATTTTCTCTAAAACTTCGTCGTTACTCACATGTTCGGTCTATAGTATACTCAGCATCCTCATGTAGAACCATTTTTCTGTTGCTTCAAGTCTCTTCTTCATCTTGTAGGAGATTGTGCAGCATTCATATACATTCATATATTTTAAACGACGCCAGGTGATTAGTCATAAACGATTTCTCACTTGATTTACGACATGACAAACTGTGCTCTTCAAAACGTATAAATATTCATAGCTTGATAACGATGAATGTGCTTTGCTAACAACTATGGTGATAAGATGACACAGATCGGGGAAGATAAAATACTAAACTTGCTTGCATCGGAATCAACCAGGGTTTTCAAGAAACTTCTTCACAGTTCGACGGAATCTGCTAATCATTTTTTTTTTTTGCAAATTGCAAATTTCTTTTTTAATATTTGTGATCCAATCTGCTAAAACATTTTATTTATTGATCCAATTAGACGTATGAGGCATTTTGTAGCTTCAAACACGCAATACCGAGATTTGAGACATTAAAATTCAGAATATTACATAGAAATAGCTTCTGAATATATATATATATATATATATATATATATATATATATATATATATATATGTAACCCGGATATAAGAGAGTTGTCGGGAGCGGAGAAGAAGTCTCTTATATCCGGGTTTCTCTTATATCCGGGTTTGGTCTATTTTTTATACATTAAAACAGACTCTAATTTGGGACCAGAGAAAATCTCTCTTATATCCGGGTCTCTTATATCCGGGTTACACTATATATATATATATATATATATATATATTAATTTCAAGAAAAAGCAGACCACTTTAAGGTTCCATTGTTATAATTTATATCCATTGTTATATTTTATTTTTCTCTGGATCTTCAGACTTCACTTTCAAGGGTGAAAAAATGAATTTAAAATAAATTTTTTATAATGTTAATTTTAAATTCAATTTTCAATCTCTGCTGATATAAATTATAACAATGGAACATTAAAGACGTCTGTTTTTTCTTTAAATTAAATTATTCGCTCTGACTATTGAGCTCTCCGGATTTCATCCTTCTTCGGATGATCCATTTATATATATATATATATATATATATATATATATATATATACTAGCAGCATGGCCCGGCGTTACCCGTGCTTGATTAAAAAAATAGTACGACTGATACAGCAATCGCTATCACTTGACTTAAAATATTTTTGCCCTTCCTGCCTTTTTTAGAGGAGTGCCCTTTGCCGTGCTGATGTTGTTACATGCCTTACTTCTTTGCCTATATCACACTGCCAACTTTTTCTAAGCTCTATAGTAAACATTAAAACTGTTACAAAAAAATAACAAAACAAAATCAACACAATACGATCAGCATTAAAATACCGGAAAAACATTTTTAAGGTTGAAACTTCACATGATGACTCCCAATGGCCTCTTCATAAATCCGCTCAGTTTTCGCTAAAAACCGACATGCGGTTCAGACGCAATCTGGGCGTATCGGTTTTTAGGTTTTATCGATTTTCCGCGCTGTTTAGGGGTCCGTGGTCATGAAACTTCTGGACAACACTTCTAATGGTAGACTCTAAGAGGGTGTCAAATTTGGTTGAAATGCGATCATTCTTTCTGTAAGCAGAATTTTTTCGATTATCGATTTTTTCGGAACCTGATTCCGAACTCAAAAATCGGGCTCCGACATGTCCTTACAGCAGCCATTTGCAAACTTGTGTTGAAAACCGCATCGAAGTCGGTTGAGAAATGCTGCCTGGACGAGGTAACAACGCCCACGACAGACACACAGACAGACAACATGAGAAATATAGATAGTAGATATATATATATATATATATATATATATATATATATATATATATATAGATAGATAGATAGATAGATAGATAGATAGATTTAGATACAGAGAGCGATGGATAAATAGTCACCATTTTATATTTTTAATTTCACGCATGCGCGTTATTTGTTTTGATTTTGTCGACTGCACAATATAGTGGGTTCAGTTATGAACCGTACGCGAGAAAAGAACCACCATGACGCAATTTACTCCGCCAGAAATTTGGAAACGGCATGCTGTACTGCTTGGCATTCGCGTCGGAAGCTCCAATGTGAACATTTCAAAATTTTTAGATATCTATCAGAGTGCAGAGGATTCGGGAAGGGCTGAATAAATCTAATGGTGATTACGAAGGTATTTGGAGTGATTACTAATGATGTCGACGTTATGCCTCCATTCTTTTTACCACAGGGTCTCAGTCGACAGGGAGGCCTACATCAAGTGCCGTGAGGTGGTAATGTTGCCCTAGCTCAAGAGGCTGGCTTCTGGAAGTCCCTATGTCTAGCATCAGGAATCACCCATGCAGGAAAACCCTGTCATGGCTGTCAGACAATTTCTGCCACCATATCACCACTTATATCTGACTAACTACCTCCCCAGACTGCAACTACCTTGATTATTATGTGTGGAACGCAGTTAAACGAGGGACCAAAAATCTCCTTGTAACACCAAAGATGAACTGAAGGCAAGGATTATGATAACATTCACCAACTTTAACAAGGAGACTGACCAGAAGAGAAGCAGAAGATTTCCAAAGGCGATTTGATTCAATAAATTTGCTCTTTAGTACTTCAAGATACTTTTTGTGTAATTTTGGTAAATATACCTGTTAAAATAAAATGCCATTGCTATTTTCATTTTTTTGTAACCTAGATGACAATTTATCCATCGCACCATCCGGGTTGTGTGTGTGTGTATACCCGTAAAATATGTAATTACTAATGTATATGTATAATATATATATATATATATATATATATATATATATATATATATATATATATATATATATATTAAGAAATGGACAAGGTCCGACAATTTATTAATTTATTTTTTGTTTAGTTTTATTTTATATACAATATTTTACCAAATGTTTGTTTATGATAAACAGTATTAAATGTTATTTAATACTGTTTATCATAAACAGAGCATTTTCTTAAATACTTGTATCTATAAAATAACAACGTTAAACATAAAAAATGTCTTTAATAAATATATATATATATATTCTGTTAATTTAACTCACCAAGCAAGAAGCTCTTTGCAAAAATGTTTCGTCAGATATTGTAAAGTGCATTCGAACACGAAATTTTCAGCAGCCTCTCCACCCTCGAGACACACGCGCGCACACACATACACTCACGCATGTATACACACACAAACACGGACACAATAATCTTATAATTAATTATATTATTTTAAATTTTACTATTATTACTTAATTATTTTAACATTATTAATTTTATTGAACACATATGTGTTCAATAAAACACATATATATGTTCAATTATATATATATGACAGTATAAATATCATACAGGAAACGTTTATCTATCTAATATGTTTATTAAAGCTTCATCAGAGAGACTTTAATAAAAGTAATGCTTGTTGAAGCCTGATTCTTTTTTACTACAATAATTGTCAGACTTTTAAAAGAGAACATAACTGAATTAACCAGAAAGTTCTTTTAGGAATACGAATTTTACCAAAATGATAAACTTTACTTTTTCAGATACCACCTTTCCTAAAAGAAATACACCCTTGCCAAAAAAAGACCATATTTTTTTATTAAAATTAAAAAAAAGGTTAAACCGACACTTTCTATCATAGAAAATAAATATATAAATAAATAATTCATCATATTAAAATAAAATAATTACGTTGATGTTCACAGCATTAAAGATATATTTGAACGTTATTAATTTAAAAACTTGAAAACTTAAGTTGTGTTTTTTTTTTAACATTTGTTTATAAATACATATTGCAAAAATAGAATCCTTAGATCTCCTTTGCTAACGTCCATTAGAGGACGAAACGCGTAGGTAAAGAATAGTATTCCTTTTGTTTTTATTTGTATTTTGATTTTAGAGATATATTTTATTTATATATGAATCATTACGCGTGCACGCACACGCATATATATATATATATATTATAAATTAATTGTATATATAAAAGAACGAAGATTTAAGCGTTCAAAACATTAATTTAAAACAGAGATCAATACAAAAAGTGAGTAATATATATATATATATATATATATATATATATATATATATATATATATATATATATATATATATATAGTTGATTGATGTGAGTTTGTGACCCTAGGTGTCACGCTTTTTCATCGTCAGTTTGTCTGACGATCGCAAAAGCGTGAAACCCAGGATCACAAACTCACATCAATCCGATCAAATATGTCAGCTCGAGCTCTCATATTGAGCGCTTTC